CAGTAGTTACTAAAATATCGCAGTTTTCGTATTTCTGGAAATTACCGTTATATGGGAAGTGGGCGTGGTTAAAGTCCGATTTCGCCCATTTTCAATACCAACCTACCTTGGATTAAGGGAAACCTACATACCAAATTTCGTTGAGATATCTCAATTTTTGCTCGAGTTATCGTGTACACAAAATTGTGTGTGTGAACAAAATTAATATACCCTTATGCGCAAGGGCACTCGGGTATAAAAAGACTTAGTTTTGTGGAAAGTATGTTCAAAAAGCATGAAAAAAAATTCCAACATTTTGTATCATAAGCACTCCAAAAATTTTATAAATCAATTTTTATACCCGAGCGCACTTGTGCACAGGGGTATATTAATTTTGTTCACATAACGGTTGTTTGTAACAGCCAAAACGAATCGAGATAGATATAGACAAATGTATACATAAATGATCAGGATGAAAAAAGAAATCGATTAAGCCATGTCTGTCTGTCCGTCCGTCTGTCCGTCTGTCCGTCTGTCCGTCTGTCCGTCTGTCCGTGTACACGATAACTCGAGCAAAAATTGAGATATCTCAACGAAATTTGGTATGTAGGTTTCCCTTAATCCAAGGTAGGTTGGTATTGAAAATGGGCGAAATCGGACTTTAACCACGCCCACTTCCCATATAACGGTAATTTCCAGAAATACGAAAACTGCGATATTTTAGTAACTACTGAAGATAATTCACTCAAAATTGATATTTACAATAATTTTTAGACGAAAAATAAGAATATTATAAATTTTTGGAAAATGGGCGTAGCCACGCCCACTTATGGTTACATGTGTATATCTTGGTAACCGCTGCACCAATTTCTTCCAAACTTGGCACAGTTGTTGGCCTTCGCACAACATACCAAATGGCCGAAAATTTTTAAAATCGCTCAATAACCACGCCTACTTCCCATATAACGGTAATTTTCAGAAATACGAAAACTGCGATATTTTAGTAACTACTGAAGATAATTCACTCAAAATTGATACTTACAATGAGTTTCAGACGAAAAACAAGAATATTATAAATTTTTGGAAAATGGGCGTAGCCACGCCCACTTATGGTTACATGTGTATATCTTGGTAACCGCTGCACCAATTTCTTCCAAACTTGGCACAGTTGTTGGTCCTGGTACAGCATACCAACTGGCCGAAAATTTCTAAAATCGGACAATAACCACGCCCACATCCCATATAACGGTAATTTAGAGAAATACAAAATCTTCGATAAATCAGTAAATATTGAAGTTAATTCATTCAAAATTGATGCTTGCAACAACTCTTTACCAAGAAATACGTTAATGGTAAATTTTTGGAAAATGGTCGTGGACGCCCACTTATGATCACATATATGTATATCGGTAACCGTTCTACCAATTTGTACCAAACTCGGT